TTATTTTAATCCTATTATATTTATAATTTAAGGAAATAATCCAAATTTAGATCTATTTCGCTTAAATAATTTATAATCAGTTTTACAATTTACTGAAATTATTTCTTTATTTACAAATTGACATTCTTTTTTATGCCCAAATACCAAATTTAGGTTATACATCTACATATTTGCCATATTGCAGTTTCGTGAAAATTCAGATACCTGATATAGGTGTATGTACGTAGATATTAACAAGTGTAACACTGTTTTATCTTTTTCAGTCCTTAAATTCAATCGAATCTCTACACACTAAACGATGGGTAGAGAGGACAAGGCTACTTGGAAGTCCAATTACTTCACCAAACTAATTGTAAGTATCCATTTATTATTAAATATTAACACTTTTATGATAATACTTGTAAGAACTGTCAATTATTTAATAAATTTTATTATTTATAGCAACTATTGGAAGATTATCCAAAGTGCTTCATCGTAGGCGCTGACAATGTCGGCTCTAAGCAAATGCAGCAAATCCGCATGTCCCTTAGGGGCAATGCTATTGTGCTTATGGGTAAAAACACTATGATGCGTAAAGCAATTAAAGGTCATTTAGAACATAATCCATCCCTTGAAAAACTTCTACCACACATCAAAGGAAATGTTGGCTTTGTCTTTACTCGCGGAGATCTCGTTGAAATCCGTGATAAATTACTTGAAAATAAAGTTCGAGCTCCAGCCCGCCCTGGCGCTATTGCCCCTCTCCCTGTTGTTATTCCAGCCCAAAATACTGGCCTAGGTCCTGAGAAAACATCTTTCTTTCAAGCCCTTTCCATCCCTACTAAAATTTCCAAAGGAACTATTGAAATTATCAATGACGTACATATCCTGAAACCTGGAGATAAGGTCGGAGCTTCAGAAGCCACACTTCTCAACATGCTTAACATCTCTCCTTTCTCATATGGGCTTATTGTAGAACAAGTTTATGATTCTGGTACAATTTTTGCTCCCGAAGTATTAGATATTAAACCAGAGGACTTGAGAGAAAAGTTTTTGGTGGGAGTAGCCAACTTGGCAGCTGTTTGTTTACAAATAGGCTATCCAACAATTGCATCAGTTCCACACAGCATTGCCAATGGATTCAAGAACTTGTTGGCTATTGCAGCTGCTACTGATATCGAATTCAAAGAAGCTGCAACTGTCAAGGAATTTCTTAAGGTAATTATAACTATAATATAAAAATTAGTTGGTTTTTATGTTTTCTAACAGTGATGAATTGACCATGAATAACATACTGAGCAACATACTGGAGCTAGAAATAGCAGAACCCACCAGTATGCAGTATGGATGAAATAATAGTCTCAACTGAATTATTTGCTTTTGGTTTCTTAATTTTCCCCTCTTTATATGGCAAAGATTCAATTTTTGTGTTGTCTTTCAGGACCCAAGCAAGTTTGCTGCTAGTGCTGCACCAGTTGCTGCCGCTGCTCCTGCAGAAGTTGCAGCACCCGCGAAAAAGGAAGAAGTTAAAGAAGAAGAAGAAGAAAGTGACGATGACTTGGGTTTTGGACTTTTTGATTAAAAATGTTAACTTTAGTGTTTGCTGTATTTTTTGTAGAGCCTGACACGTCAAATAAACATTTGAAATGAATATTTTTTCTGATGGTAGATACAGCCATGTGTTATTCCTATATAATTCCATAAAAGAATAAAATACAAAATAATATTTCAAATAAGACCCTAATGAATCCACATTCCTTATTTTACAATTAAATTGAAAAAATTTTCCCTTTTATATTATAGTAGGTTTAATACAAGATTGCTGAATTTTAAAATTTTTATATAAACAGTTTTTATAGAGCTAAAAATGAGGGTGCATATTTCAATTTGTATAGGATCTCGAAGCCATCCATAAAATTAATTTGCGTTATCTAGTAAGCGTTATCAATACACGTTAACAGTTTGATTTCAAACTATTCCGAATTATACATTGTAGCATTTTAGAATAGCTAATAATTATTATCCTTAATAAAGGGATACTTCAAAGTTTTAATATAATCAGAATGTATTGTAAACTTATGTAACGCTAATCAGGAATAAATAGCAATTCAATATTTTAGGAATGTAATTTGGAAAGTGTTGTTAGCAAAACGCCTAAACCGTTCTACCAGTTTAAAAGCTTTAGTTTCTTCAAGAACGAAGTAAGTAAATTATATTTAAATAAACTGGAAAGAATATTAGAAGCCTTATGAAATCATTAGATCTAAAAAAGTGTACTTTGGACTGGTATTCACTTCCGTGATATACAGATAAGGCAAAAAGCTCACCGAACGTAGGCATTGCATATTTCTTTGTCGACATGTTCACCGAATATAATTTGGTGAACGTGCAATATATGTTTTTTCAACTATATCTATCTGAAAATATCACTTGCTTCTCTAAAAATTATCCTAAACTAACCGCTCTCAAAATCTTTTGAAAAAAAAAAAGATTAACACCCTTCCCAACGGTATTTAATTGTATTTATTAGACTTGCTTACATTACTTTATTATTTCCATCAAGAGGTGGCTGAAGGTGTTTGTACAAAATTTTCTACATCACGTTTTTTTCAAAAGATGATACGGTCCTTTGATGATCCCATGTTCGGTTCTTAATTCGCCTCTACTGTATAGGAATTAGGAATAATATAACGCTTACTATTGCCAAGAGATGGCTATGTGGTGACAGCTGCGCCGCCAGAAATTAAATAATAGTTGTAAACATTTTTAATTCATTATTTGTGTTTACTGATAACGTCTACCAACTGTTTACATTCTACATCAAAACAACAAAGGAAAATGTACAAATTATTGTTTGTTTCTAACGTCAAGTGTAGTTGATTGATAAAACTGATAAAAATGTCTACTTTATTAAAATGATGAAAAGCAAAAAGAACGATTGTCCGTTGCTCGAAAATCCCGTCACGTATGACCCTGACACGATAAACCTTTTGGAAAATGCAGAAGCAAGGGAATATTGGCTCACATCGTTGGACGAAATGGTCAGAGGTTTTGAGAAAAAGGCAAAGCTGTTGAACCCAAATAAAGCAGACGCACCGGAAATCTTGAGGAAATGTCGTGAACAGTTCCACGACCATATTGAAAACATTCGAAAAGAACCACTGTAAGTATTTTCCAAAATTGATAATACAAAATACAAACATCTGATTAACATATCTTTAGGATTGTAAAACCTCTAAGTGTAAGAACTCTTCTAGAGACCCACCAAACTATTTTGGAAAAGAATGGCTTTCAAGATATGTGGTCTAATCAAAAAGAAAGGGAAACACTTGCTGCCTTTACTCAATTTAAGAAACGTATGGGAGATATTGATGAGCTACTGGACTTTTATCAGAAATGGGCTGAACTTTCCAAAGGAATAATAGCAGGAAATGTATTTGACTGGGGTGCCAAAGCTGTTTCTGAAATATTAGAGAAAACAAACGACTTTGGTCTTCATCATGCAATGAAAACAGTTCAACAAAGACCATGGTTTATAGACAATGTTGATGTTTGGATAAAGAACCTCAGGGTATACAATGAGCAATGCAGAAAAGTTTAAATAAAGAAAATATTTTTTAGGAACAACCCTATCATTCAGCTTTAATATTTGTTGACAATGCTGGAGTAGACTTTGTGTTGGGAGTTCTACCTTTTGTAAGACAACTCCTTATAGAAGGCACAAATGTTTACATTGCAGCTAACTCTACTCCTTCTTTAAATGATGTAACTTATTCTGATCTGCAACGTTACCTTGAAATGGCCTGTAAAAAATGTAATGTGATACAACAGTCTCTTTTAGACAATAAACTCATAGTAATAGACAGTGGTCAGAGAGGTCCTTGCTTAGATTTGAGAAGCTTAAATGCAGGTAAAAATTTTCCCTAATATTACATTAATGTAAAAGTGTATACTGTGTAAATGGTTGTTAAAATTCATTTTATATGTTAATCTTATCCATAATCATTAATATGGGTCAAATAGAACATAATTTTGTTTCCCTTTCTTACAGTTTATTGACAATTTAAACCGTATTACCCAAGCAGTCCCTTATACTAACGTGGATGTGTTTTATTTTTAGATACATATGAAGTTATGAAGAAAGTAGATCTATTAATATTGGAAGGTATGGGGCGAGCAGTGCATACAAATTTTAACGCGAAATTCAAAGTTGACTGTCTTAAACTGGCGGTTCTAAAGAATGCTTGGCTTGCACGAAATCTTGGTGCAAGTCAGTTTTCAGTTATATTTAAATATGAGGCTTCTTCAAACAAGTCAATTTCATAAAACAAGAACGTTTACCATCAAACATTGTAAATATAAACCAAAATTGTTGGATCGTGTGAATAATAAAGTTTGTATTTATTAATTTGTGTATTCATTTATTTAAAATTATAATTGAAATATTAGAATTTGTTCTCTAGTATTTCAAAGATTTTGGAACTATTAATTGGTGATCTAGATTTATCTTAAAGAAGACATATTTTGTTTTGGGATTTCCATGTTAGCTCTTTTAATAAAATTAAACAAGGCAAAAAACAACGCAAAACGCGTAGATTTTAGTGTTCATTCACACACAGGAAGGCATGAGCAATAATACATATATGTATCTCCAAAAAAGTACTTCAACCTGCTTAAGATCAAGCACAAACTAGATGTAAGTTAATGCAGAAGTTTAAAAAAAAGTATACATCCAATGCCTATAAATGTATTTGTTGTTCTGAGAGCAATATAATATATACATATTAAGTAGAAGTAAATTAAATATTCTATTAACGTTCTGATTAATGAGGTAACACACTGGATTACATAATCAATCTATACCTTAATACAATTTTTGTTGGTACTAGTAAGACGAAAAACGTGCTAAACGTGCAATGACACAAAATATAGATTGTCTTGTGTATATTATGTCTACTTAACTTACTTCTAATTTTTGTTTCGCAATTTCCGGAATTTAAAGTAATTTACTAATTATCACATTTGTTGCACCCTTTCCTAGAATTTAAAGCTACAATATATAACGAAAATGAAATATGATCCATCTATTTTGAAATATGTACCTACTTACATTTACTTGAACATAAAAGTATATTAAAGAGTAAATAGTGACTTTCAAAATAAGCTCTATCTTCTTTATCTGTATTATATAAACAGATAAACTAATTTAAATAATATAAAAAAATATCTTTCAAAAAAATTACGTTTTTAAATACCATGCTTGAATATACAAATATTTTGGTGATGAATCTGTATAAATATCTTGCAATAAATTATTTAACATATTGAGAAGGTTGCAAATCAAGAGATGTACATTCTTTATTAAATTCTTCTTTCAGTATTTCTTTTGAATGAAGCGCTTCTTCTGGTGAAGTTTTTGTTATACTTTGATTTTCCTCTGAAATACCTTTACCGATACCGATTTCATCCTTAATAAATTCCTGTATAACTCGAACTTCTTTATGCAAATCCAACAGTTCCTTTCTCATTTTCAAAGCAACTGATCTTAAACTTTTATCATCAGCTACAATGCTTTTTATTTTTTCAAATGCCTTTTTGGCTTCATTTTGATCAATGATCCATCTAAAAAATAAATCTTCCCAGAGAACAATGCTCACAGAGGCTACACTAGGCCAAATGGGTGCTTTGTTAGGTTCATACATGGGATTTAAAAAGGCAGTGAGAATTTCTGGCCGATTTAAGTATGACCATAAGCTCGTAGTTTGTGTATGTACACCAAATTTATTTCTTTCAGCCTCTGAATTACCCAAAAATGTCCCTAAAAAAGGTTATTAGGTCTTCAGTTTTATATTTAAAGCCCTATTTTTGTGCATTTATTACCAAATTGACTAGAATAGGAATGTTCAAAGATTTGGATTAAAAACTGAGTTATAAATTCGAAACTGCAAGGAAACTGATAGTGAAGTTGGTGCAAGCAATCTAGGAAAAGTAAAAATGTTGGTTGATTCTGCTTATTTTTTGTAGCAGAATAGCAACTTTTTCGATGTCGCATATGAAAAGGAAAACCTCCCTGAATCCATTCTCTTTCAATTAAAGCCTGCAAACCTGTAAACAGGTCATGTAATCTTTAAAATTTCTATTGTCTAGCTTTAAATTACCCCGAACAGTTCTACAATCTGGGTTTAGAATAACTTGAGCTATTGAAGTTACCAATAGAGTCGAGTCTGTTCCATTTGAGCCATGTACTAGAACAGGCACTCCATCCTGATCTAAAAACTGAGCAACCAGACATGCAGCATCTAATGCATTCTGCACATGAGTCAACCAATTACTATTTTCTAGACGTGATAACCATTTATCATGAGAACAATGTGTATCATTTACAGCTAAAAGCAATAAATCCAATTGTATTTTACAATTATGAATTATACCATAATTTACCATCAATTAACTTTGTAAGAGATTCCAAAAGTGCTCCGTTACAATGAGAAATTTTATCAAGTCCTTTATGTATTCGTTTCCAATGGGAATAGTGTCCCTCTGGTTCTGTACCTCCACCTTTAGACTTGCACTGATTGGCATAGTTTGCAGATCTAGTATCTACTATGTAACCTTTTTTAACAATAATAATTTGTTTCAAAATTTCTTCATCATGCCTTGATCTTTTATTACTATTATTCAACAAAGGTTGACTACTTCTCATTAAGATAGCACCATTGTCATGTCTATAACTCAACAGTGGAAATCGACCTCCATCTCTAAAACTAGCTGCAGCAATAAGAGTATCATCATCTATCTTTTTGGGAACAACTAAAGAAGAAGCATAGGTTGGACACACAGAATAGTCTTTATTAACATGGGATATACGCCATTCTTCACTTGCTAAAAGTTTTGCAAATTCTATTTCTGGTTGAAAAAGGGTATAGCCATCTTCTAAAATGGTATACATAGGACGGTAGAAGAAAGGATAGCTGAGCTTCACATTTTCAATATTTGATAATCGTTCTAAGGATATACTGACATTAGTATAATCTTCTATGTTACCAAAATCTATTTGAACTATCCTAAAATCTTTGTACTTCAATGTTATTGATCCTCCATTGGGACCATGGGATCCAGAACTGTTTACTTTCTTTTCTAAAGCATCTATTCCTTCATGAATTAACTAAAATTGTGTGTTTTCTATAAAAACTCTGCCCACAATAATTAGCAAGAAACATACCCATAGTTCCTGATATTGTTCCTTATGTGGAGATAAAATTAAGTGATGTCCAGTAATACACATTGTTGCCTCCACAGAGGTATTAAAAGGGCCATGGAAAACAACATTATCAACATTAGGGGCAACTATAAGATCAGCAAATTCCATAACAACTTTTTAAGAACTTGCACAGTTCTTTGCGTTATTAGTAGCATTTAGAAATCGTTACATTCCCACTTTTTATATTAAAATCTCCAAGATTCAAAAGCTTCTTTAAATTCATCCTAATAGGTCATACTGAGGTCATTATTCATAAAAAATTAATACTTCACAGTTTAAAACTATTGTTACTTGTCTGTTTCTATTTAATATATTTAACCCATATGTTTTTTAACCTCAACTGTCAAATTATTGCGATGTTGCCAATCAATTGATATATGTAGCAAGCCACTAATTTACTAGTAATACACCGATAGTATAAAGTTTAAAAAAGCCGTTAAATAGTAACACAAAATGATAGGAACAAAGTGTAATTGTAAAGAAAAGAAGCATTTTAGTGTAAATAATGTGTAACATATTATCACTTTTAATTAGTTAGTTTTAGTTAAGTGCGATTATATTAAAACTCAAAGTGGTTTACAAATTTACAATAAGTACCGTATAATCCCGGTTACAAGTACCTATTTTTTGGTAATGTTGTAGCCAGAGGGGGAGATTAAAGGGGGGTTCAAAAATCTCTCCATCGACTAAGAAAGTTTTTTTTTATGTTGCTTGCTGAGAAACTATTACTGTTTAGCACAGACAGCGCAGTAGAAATAGCAATCTGCTGCAAAAATGTTTGCACCACATTCACTTATTTTTTTGTAATAATTAACAAACTACATCATAAAATCATGTGGTAGATAAAAATAACCCTGCCGCACTTATTTATTTTTTAATGTAAATAAAAAAACTTGACAATCTCCTATTGCAATTTGTAAAATCTCATCGAAATCGGAGTCCAAGATAAGGGCATATATGTAGATAGACTACATCAACCTTAAAAAAGGCAGATTTTCTATATTACAGACACGCTTTAATTTTATTCATATGTATTTATATTTACATACTTATATAGACAAATACAAAACCATTTTTTTGATGAACATCTTGTACCTATGTCTAAAAGAATGAGTGGATATAAACAGGAGCGAATCGTGAATTTGTAGGGGCCTGGGCCAATACTATTTATATAGGGACCTACCTAAATCACTTAACCAACTGTCATTCTATCAAAAAACTATTGATGTAGGAGTACTTACGGTATAGAAAAAAATAGGGCAATAAAATATTTTAACACAGTTGTAACAATAACAAAGTCAATCTATCACTTTGACGATTAGAATAGAAATCCGAAAATAAAAACAAAATTACTTTGGAAGTGAGAACTTCCCGTAATAGACGCACACGCGAGAAAATATACCGACCAAAAACAAGCGAAGGGGAATTCCCCGTTCCATTCAATCCATTCAATAGACGGGCTGATTTGATAGTAAGATTGCCAACTTTATGATCGGATTTTTNATCAAGTACACATCAATCTGTATTACAGAATACTTTATGAAATTCCTACACAAGGCACAAAAAAGAAATAGAAAGAGAAAATATTTTCGCTCCTTATTCTGCTTATTACACCGATTACAGCTCATTCAATTTCCGTTTTTGTCGTATCTTCTGCCGAGGTAAGTATCGTTATTTTAATCCTATTATATTTATAATTTAAGGAAATAATCCAAATTTAGATCTATTTCGCTTAAATAATTTATAATCAGTTTTACAATTTACTGAAATTATTTCTTTATTTACAAATTGACATTCTTTTTTATGCCCAAATACCAAATTTAGGTTATACATCTACATATTTGCCATATTGCAGTTTCGTGAAAATTCAGATACCTGATATAGGTGTATGTACGTAGATATTAACAAGTGTAACACTGTTTTATCTTTTTCAGTCCTTAAATTCAATCGAATCTCTACACACTAAACGATGGGTAGAGAGGACAAGGCTACTTGGAAGTCCAATTACTTCACCAAACTAATTGTAAGTATCCATTTATTATTAAATATTAACACTTTTATGATAATACTTGTAAGAACTGTCAATTATTTAATAAATTTTATTATTTATAGCAACTATTGGAAGATTATCCAAAGTGCTTCATCGTAGGCGCTGACAATGTCGGCTCTAAGCAAATGCAGCAAATCCGCATGTCCCTTAGGGGCAATGCTATTGTGCTTATGGGTAAAAACACTATGATGCGTAAAGCAATTAAAGGTCATTTAGAACATAATCCATCCCTTGAAAAACTTCTACCACACATCAAAGGAAATGTTGGCTTTGTCTTTACTCGCGGAGATCTCGTTGAAATCCGTGATAAATTACTTGAAAATAAAGTTCGAGCTCCAGCCCGCCCTGGCGCTATTGCCCCTCTCCCTGTTGTTATTCCAGCCCAAAATACTGGCCTAGGTCCTGAGAAAACATCTTTCTTTCAAGCCCTTTCCATCCCTACTAAAATTTCCAAAGGAACTATTGAAATTATCAATGACGTACATATCCTGAAACCTGGAGATAAGGTCGGAGCTTCAGAAGCCACACTTCTCAACATGCTTAACATCTCTCCTTTCTCATATGGGCTTATTGTAGAACAAGTTTATGATTCTGGTACAATTTTTGCTCCCGAAGTATTAGATATTAAACCAGAGGACTTGAGAGAAAAGTTTTTGGTGGGAGTAGCCAACTTGGCAGCTGTTTGTTTACAAATAGGCTATCCAACAATTGCATCAGTTCCACACAGCATTGCCAATGGATTCAAGAACTTGTTGGCTATTGCAGCTGCTACTGATATCGAATTCAAAGAAGCTGCAACTGTCAAGGAATTTCTTAAGGTAATTATAACTATAATATAAAAATTAGTTGGTTTTTATGTTTTCTAACAGTGATGAATTGACCATGAATAACATACTGAGCAACATACTGGAGCTAGAAATAGCAGAACCCACCAGTATGCAGTATGGATGAAATAATAGTCTCAACTGAATTATTTGCTTTTGGTTTCTTAATTTTCCCCTCTTTATATGGCAAAGATTCAATTTTTGTGTTGTCTTTCAGGACCCAAGCAAGTTTGCTGCTAGTGCTGCACCAGTTGCTGCCGCTGCTCCTGCAGAAGTTGCAGCACCCGCGAAAAAGGAAGAAGTTAAAGAAGAAGAAGAAGAAAGTGACGATGACTTGGGTTTTGGACTTTTTGATTAAAAATGTTAACTTTAGTGTTTGCTGTATTTTTTGTAGAGCCTGACACGTCAAATAAACATTTGAAATGAATATTTTTTCTGATGGTAGATACAGCCATGTGTTATTCCTATATAATTCCATAAAAGAATAAAATACAAAATAATATTTCAAATAAGACCCTAATGAATCCACATTCCTTATTTTACAATTAAATTGAAAAAATTTTCCCTTTTATATTATAGTAGGTTTAATACAAGATTGCTGAATTTTAAAATTTTTATATAAACAGTGTTTTTATAGAGCTAAAAATG